ACTTTATCCTGTGTCTAAGCCATAGATTATAGTTAAGCCGAAGTTAAAGTGTAAGCCTGAACTTAAGATTTTGCCTAATCTTTTTCCTAAGCCTAAACTGAAGACTAGGCTCAACAGGAAGCTTAACAGTCAGCTAAGGGTTAAGCCTAGACTGAAGTTTAAAAGTACGCCTAAGCTAATGCATAAGCTTTAGGCTCAGCTTATGCCAAAATGTATAATTTAGCCTAACATAGGATTAATGTTATTCCTAAACGTATCCCTAATTGTAAAACTGAGCCTAACTCTATGACTAGGTTAAATCTGAAGCTTTGGTTTCAGATTAACTTTTAGCTTAAGCCTTCTTAATGGTAGGCAAAGTCTTAGACTTTGGATTGACTTTAATCTGAGGGTTAAGCCTAAGCTGCCACTTAAGCTTGGGTTCAGATTGGCCTTAATTTTAAGCTAATGCCCAACCTCAGGTCTGTGCCTGACATTAAACTTGAGCTTAAGCCTAAGCTTAAGATAAAGTCCTATCCTCAAGGCTGTACTTTATTCACAATAAAATATATTATATGTTCTATGCATTACGTGCCAAATGCAATTTGTTTCCGCCTAGTTGAAATAATGTCTTTTCAGAGCTCTTAGATCTTCCAAAACAGTTGAATATTCTCCAGTACGAGCTGAGTGCCGCCCTCCTTTCGATACATTTTTTAACCGTTTAACCGTTATAAAATGTTACAGTAGAAATTCAATGCCAGTGAAGCCATCCGAATGTAAACTGGTTGTGCATGAGGGCGAACCTGTGCAGCATTTGCATTCCTATCCATAATGGTTAGAAAGAGTCGGAGTGTATACATGACTTCGGCGATGAATTTCATAGCCATCTCATTAGTTATGCTGGATGTTTCCAAGATATTGTGAAAAGCTCAAATATCGACTTACATTTTAATACACAAAGATTAGATATATTTAAATTTTTCGAAGAGTCGGAATGAAGGAAAATGCCTATAAAACTCACCTTCAAAGTCATGCATGCCTTTCGACTCTTTTTGGCAAATATGGAGAAGAATGCGCGTGTTGCAAACAATTGCCCTCATATGCTATCAGTGTGTTCTGACGTCCTCATTGCTATCGAGCTTCTACTAGTAGATTTTGTTGCGATTCTGCGATTGAACAATGGATCGAAAGGAGAGCGATGTCGGTTTCGTTACGGTCAGTATCGAAACCTCGTGGAGGAAATTAATGCGTTGGAAAGATGTCATATCAACCAGGCGGAAAGAAATTACACAGAATATATTATGTACTAAATAAAGGTAATAATTAAGGATAGATTGGCATGGGTTTAGAGTTAGATTCAGTTTTAAGACCGAAATTATTCCTAAGCGTAATTCTAAACTTTAAATAAAGTTTAAGACTAACTATGTCTAGACGAATCGTCTAATTAACTTTATGCATTGTACAGCATATACTGTGTACTACGTCTCATGAAATGCAATTTTTTCCCGTTTGGCTGACGAGATCATTTCAGCGCTTTTACTTCCTCCACAAGGGTTCGACATTGACCGATACGAGCCCCGCGCCGCGCTCTTTCCGATTAGTCGCCGAACCGCTCAATCGTTACAAAATCTATCAGTACAAATTCGAGAGTAGTGACGATGTCCGACTGTACTGGGTTCATATGAGAGCAATTGTGTGCAGCACGCGTATTGGTCTCCGAAGTTGCCAAAAAGAATCGGACGGTATGGGCGGCTTAGGCGGTGGATTTAATTGCTTCCTTTATTGTTTCTACTAACTTAATCTTTGCCGCAATGTTTTGCTAAAATTGAAATATTAAATTGTTTTAATATAAGCTGAAATATTTCCGTTATGGCATAATGGAACGGTATCTAAGAGACCTGCTTCGAATTCTGAAGATGTGCCAAATTAGATTCCGCTTGAGGGAATTAGATTCCGCTTAAATTTTCGAATTCCCTAGAGCAAGGAATTTACACAGATAGGTACCAAGTACAAGCCCCGGCCAGGTCTACTCACCCCTCTTCCTTCCTAGGTTGATAAATGAGTTCCATTCTGTGGGAAAGAAACAGTAAGCCATGTTCTGCGCTTGTTACATGGCTGTAGACTCTACCACAAAAAATAACTCGCTCGTGGCCGAAGGCATCAAAACGGAGATCAGCATTACATCATGAACCTCATAAAAATAGCGTCAAAACGGTCCAATCATGAACCTGAAACCGATGACTGGTTTTCCTTTCTATTTTCGTTTTATTTAAGCGATGTTACTATAGAAATGTAAGGAGTTAATGACGTTGCGTCTTCAGCGTAAATGACTTTGAAGAAAGTGTTGTTGGAAAATGAACGTACGTGGGTTTTAAACTAATGGATCACTGTTTTTGTATATGCTCAAGGTCTCACTGCTAAAACAACTATGGGAATTTTACGAGTGTTTCCCTGATTCCAAGGCTTAGCCAGTTCTGGAGTCGCTTTACCCGGACAGCACATAACTTTACAGTTTTGAACAAGACTAATGTCTATTATTCCTGTGTTTGCTTCAGTTTCAGTCCCACTTGTAGTAGTTATATATTCGCAGTGTACGAAAGTCGACTCATTTCTAGTATTGTCGGTTATCGGCTTAGTGCTTCCCCCTCTGGCCAGTTTATTTGACTATCGCGTGTTTCAGCGTGTTCCTGGTCGAGCGAGTGGACGTTTTAGTCAAGCAGAGCCTAATTTGTAATTTGGACGTCCACTGATTCACCCTCGGCGAGGCGCCTTACTGGCTTATCTTCTGGAAGGGAGAAATCACGTCTGTTGATTCTGTACGTTGTCAAATTTATGCGGTCAAGCTGTTATCCCGGAGGGGGACCTTGCACCTTCATTATTCGGTCGCTCTTTGTGAGACCGTCAGTTTCTTCACTGAAATTTTTTTATAACTGTTGCCATTCTGTCATCACCATCTGAGACTAACACCCGTGAAACAGCGGTGTACTCCAGATTTATGATGTTTTTATGATTAATATCTATTAATTTTATGCCTTTAATGATTGTCTGACGGGCTGTCAAAATTTTCTTGGTGAATTGTTATTGACATTAGACAGACTAATTCGTCCGACCTTTTGTTTTATATTATGTCTTTGGAGACTTGCTTAATCGCGAATTGAACATGTTCCGCAACGTTTGATAATATCTATATAATAAATTCGATGTAAATTATGCATAACATTGTTAAGAATATTTTTTGGGTAGTTGCTTTATATTACAGAAGAAAATTTATGAAGATTTATGTACACATTTATTGTACGCAAATTAATTGTTTTATATTCTTTCTTATCCGGTAAATACCAGATTAATGAAGTTGTTGTCGTTATGGAAAGTGGGTACGGTGTGACAATCAGCTCCGTGAAAGTCGAAAGGCAGATATCTGATTGGTTATAGATCAACAGAGGGGTCAGTAAGGTCGACTCCATTTTCCACTTGCTCTTCATTGTTGTATTAGATAACACTGTAAGAAACAGGGCTCAGTGGCACTGCTGTGGGCGGCCTCTTGTTGGAACGAAGCCAGAGATACGAATAAATATTTAGCTGATTTGGACTATACCAATGGTATCATCTTACAAGGCTACAGCTATGATGACAGTCGCTCGCTTAGTTAAGCCATATGCAAAATTTGAGCGAAAGCAGGATTCCAGCTCAGCCTTGTAAAGACAAAAAGCTGATGAAGAACGCAGAAGGTGCCGTGAAACCGAAGACTTCCCCTGGAAACATTACCATGGATGAAGTTTCGCAGTTCATATATCTGATTTCCCTCATCTCGAGGAATGGGAGCTGTGAGTAGAACTTACATAGAAACATATCAGTGGCGTCGTTTGCCATCAGTAGCTTTATGAATGTCTGAACTCAAAGAGGAATGTAACTAGTCACTTAAGATCTGACTTTGTTGCGCTGTTGTCATACCAGTTTTGCTCTACGGACTGAAAATGGTTGCACTCGCAAGAGCACGGCAACATCAACCGAACGCACTGCAACAAAGCTGCTGAGCCCGCTGCAGAAGATCAGGTGTATCGACCGCATAAGAAGCGATCATGTCTTCGTA